TATTCAATTTATTGAGTTAAATTAAAATTCAGTTTCTTGGTCCCATTAGCCACATTCCAAGTGCTCACTTGCCACATGTGACTGGTGGCAGCCACATTGGAATCATAGCACACCCTCAATGAAAGTTCTGCTAGACAGCACTATCATTGATCTGGATACATCCATACCAAGAGGTCAATTTTGAAGAACCTTCCTGGAAACGGTAGTGCTGTTCAACTTGCTTTTTTGGGACTGCAAAAAGAAAAAAAAGGGTAAGTGGATTGTAAACGCTCAAGGGCCCCTGACTGTGGGCCTGCATGTCCTTCAAAGGTGCTTGTTATCACACAACAGGACAAGTGAGGAAGAAACCTCTTGTTTAGTTAAAGCCATGAAATTGCTGCTCAGGCTAATTTTATGCCACCCAACCCCCAAGCTACTCCAATGTCCTGCTTGAAGTATAGTAATCACCTTGATGCAATCTGTTACTGTAAATTATTTACAACTAGCTGGCTTAGAGCTTGGTCTTTATTTGTTTTGGAGAAATTGATTCTTCACTATTTTAATTTTTCTTGTGACTCAAATAATTTCCTTGGTCCTGACTTTCATCTCACCTCTACACCTAGAATGAAAGTGGTCCTCATCTGAAGAAAATTAGTGGAAAAAACCCAGTTTGTTGAAGGCTAACCCATGTAAAATTGCTGTTTGTATAGGCCAACAATTGTTCAAAACCAGCCATTTTGTATGATTCAAATGGAAGAGCCTAGGTGAAAAATCCTAAGAATTTAAACACTACTCTCTTCCTTATGAGCAAGGCAGTTGGGAACTGACCCCATTTGGGATTACTTCCAAAGGAAAGGCTTCTGGAAAGACCCAGTGATTTAGTGCAGTTAAATTTGTCAGGTTTTTAAAGTCCCCATCACAAGCAAGGCATGGTGAGGATAAATAGAAAGTAAGCCCTCTTATCTGGGGAGGGGTGAAGTTGAGAATAAAATGAATGTGCTAACCATAATTGCTGACATTCATGGCATGTTTGCCATGTGTTATTTTTAAGTTCTTTACATGCAGTTGTATCATTTCCTCTTTACAGCAACCCTGTAAACAAACACTATGATATCCCCCATGTGATAAATGAGGAAACTTGGGCTCAGACAGGTGAAGTAATGTGCTCAAGGTCACATAGCTCGTAAGTCATGGCAGCTGGAGTTGAGTTGCGGCTCAGAAGCCTATACTCCAACACCAAGTCCAGGGCAGTGAACCCCAACACAAGCCCCTGGGAGTGAATCTCAACACCAAGCCCAGGACAGTGACTCTCAACACCAAACCCCAGGAGGTGAACTCCAACACCAAGCCCCAGGCAGCGGCTCCAGAAGAGACTCTGAGGATAAGAGAGACAGATACAGACTTTGGGGGAAGGGCTGGATCTGAGAGGGAGAGAGTCTGGCAGGGAGAAGGGTGGATGGTGTTCTGTGGGAGCTGGGGACAAGATCAAGACCAGGAGTATGTGATTGTCACTCAGGTCCCTTGGCAGAGCCCAGCCTGGCAGAGCAAGACAGGGGATGCAAAGCAACCCTCCAACCACTATGAGAAAACGGGGTGGTGATCCAACACTGCCAGTGCCCTGGGAGGCAACAGGGTGGCAGACAGCAAATGGTAGCTGTCGTGGTGGACAGGTTTCCCGAACGCTGCAGAGGAAGCACAGGAGGCTGGAGGTAAGAGCTGGTCAGACACGCTTGTGCGCGGAGAGGACGGCAAGTCACAACAGCCCAGGAGAGTTGGCAAGGAGCCGTGGAGACACAGTGGACTGAAAGGTGTCACTTCAGCTACTTAAGTCCCCTGATGGGTGAGACTCTAGCAAATTACTTTTTCCTCTTTCTTTGCAGCAAAGGCCGGCAGAGGTGGCTGCCTCGTCCTAGCTGAGGCGTCTCAGGCACACCTGAGGCACCTCCACCAGCCCCAACCCCCACCCTCTGCCTAATCCTTCAGATGAGAAAGTTCTGTTTCCTCTGTCCATTGTGCAGAACCAACCCTGGCCAAGGAATCCTCGCCCTCCCCCTTCCTTCCCTCCCACCTCTCTTCCCTCCTTCCCTCCCCTATCTCAGTGTGGCCAAGAATAAAGCTCACAACTCTACCTGCCCAGCGAGCCGAGTGCAAGGAGGTGAAGGCCAGGCTGAGAACCAGGGCGGCCCGGGTGGCAGAGGTGAGGCGCTGCATGTCGGGTAGAGAGGTGTGCTGAGGGCCAGGGGCCAGGGGCCACGGGCACTGCCTGTCGGGGAGCTGACTCTGCGGGAGCTGGAAACCAGCTCTGCTTGATGTTTGGGGGAAAAGAAAGGGGGTGGAGCAAAGGAAACTTCACCTGTCACCTCTCTCACCTCTCTAGAAGGGAAGCCAAACTGTTGGCTGAGGGGAGAAAGGGAGGGGCCCAAATTTTGTCCTTACTGAGGAAAAAGAGACAGACAGGAGTAGAGATGTGAGAGTCCTGCTGGTTCCCTGGAGATGCGTTTGCTGCTTCTGTCACCTGCAGATTAGCATGAATGCCTTCTTCCTCTTAGTCGCATATCCACTGAGCACCTACTATGTGCACTGCCCTGGCTAAAGTCCAGGAACACCTGCTCTCAAAATGCTTTAATTACAAATGCACATCATGAAAGCACAGAGCAGTGTTTCAGGAATGACTCGGGAAGGACCAAGTGCTGTGGGTCTCGGCAGCAAAGGGCCACATCTGCTGATGCTTGCTTCATGAAGAAAATGACACTTGGCTCAGTCTTTGAAGGACGAATAGCTTTTTGACAGGTGGAGGGGGAAAGAGGGTGGTGTAGGTAAAGGGACAGATGAGCAAAGGCCCAGAGGGAAGCTGACACTCAGAGGTCCACTGTGATCACAGCATGCGTAAGCAGAGGTGAGCCAAGGAGGTAAGGCAGAAGGCAGATGGGAGAATGAACTGAGCTGTGTGCCCAGCAGGGGAGCTTGAAATAAAGTCAGGAAGCAGCCGGGTATGGTGGCTCACATCTGTAATCCCAGCACAAAGGGAGGCAGAGGCGAGAAGATTACCTGAACTCAAGAGTTCCAGACCAGTTTGAGCAACATGGCGAGACCTTATCTCCACAATAAACTCCAAAAATTAGCCAGGTGTGGTGTTGCGTGCCTGTAGTTCCAGCTACTCAGAAGGCTGAGGTGGAAAAATCACCTGAGCCCCGCAGGTTGAGGCTGCGATGGCCATAAACGTGCCACTGTACTCCAGCCTGGGCGACAGCTGACAAAAAAAAAAAGTCAGGAAGAAAAGGTGAGGGTAGCCAGGCTTGGTGGCTCAGCCTGTAATCCTGTGCCTTTGGGAGGCTGAGGTGACTGGATTGCCTGAGCCCACGGGCTCAAGACTCGCCTGGGCAACTTGGCGAGACCTCATCTCTACAATAAATCAAAAATTAGCCGGGTGTGGTAGTGCGTGCCTGTAGTTCCAGCTACTTGGAAGGTTGAGGCGGAAGGATCGCCGGAGCCCAGCAGGTCGAGGCTGCGGTGGCCGGGAGCGGCCACTGCACTCCAGTCTGGGCAACAGAGTGAGACTCCAACTCAAAAAAAGAAAAGAAAAGGTGAGGGTTTTGTAGGAGGCTGAGCTGAGTAGTAACTTGGTTGAAGCTCTGCCTTGAGTCTCATTTATTGAGTACCCGCCGTGTGTATAAAAGGGATCACCTCGGTGCTGAGACTGAGGTGACCGAGATGTGATCCCTCCCCGGGAGGAGAGCACAGTCCAGCAGTGGGACCAAGTCATGAAGCAGGAGATCTGATGCAGGACTCAAAGATGGATGGCAAAGATCAGAGATGGCTATCTTCCAGTCATGGGGATATGGAGGAGGGAGTGGTTAAATCCGCCTGAGAGGGGCTGGGGAAGGATTCCCAGAGGAAACGATGTCTGGGCTGGGTGCTGAAGTGTGTATTTGCAGATTTGGATTGATGGGCTTTTCAAGTAAAAGAAGCAGCAAGTTCGAAGGTGGGAGAATTGTCTGTGTCCATGCGGCCTGCGTGCGCAGGTGTGTGCCTTGTGCTTCTGCACAGCCGTGGGCCTAGTAAGAGTCAGGATGGAATCCAGCTCCGTGGAAGGTCGTGGAAGCCTTGCTAGGCCCAGCGTAAGAATGTCCTGTTGTAGTCCTCAGTCGCTTTTTTTCTAGTTCATACAAAGTTACAAATGAGTGGTGGCACTATGTCTCTGGATTTGGGGATGAGGTGGAAGTGCTTAAGGAAGGGTGATCTTCAGGCAGTGTATGAAGTCCAGCTTAGGCCTACCACCAGTCGGACGTTACACAGTGACCAAGTAGCTGCTGCACGCCCTTCCTTGGCATAGAGACTCTGAGGTGAATGAGACCACAATGGCCCGTGTCCTCAGGGAGCTCAGTCTGGTGAGGGATAAGGACAAATAGTGACACTACAATGAAATAAGTGTTGAGGAGGTCTTTACAAAAATGGGAAAATCGTGGAAGAGGGTTGGGGGTTAGGAGGTTCAGAGAACATTTCATAATGAAGGCGATATTTTGACCCGAAACTTAGAAGTGTACCCACCAGGCACAAAAGAAGGAAACTGTGCCCAGGGGCATCTGAGGTGTGAATGTGCGCCCCTTGTTTAGGGAGTCATGAGTGATTTACTATCCCAGGACCGTGGGAGTGGGGGCACAGTTTGTCTAGTTAAACTAAGGACAGACTGGAAATGGTCCTGAATGGCAGACTAAGGAAACCGGGCTCTAGCTTATGACTGGAGTGCCATCTATAAGGAACTTATAGGTGTGGGCACATTTGTATTTCTGAGACATAGAGGTTAGATCTGAGGAGGACAGGCCTGGATTCAGGAAGATCACCTAAGAAGCGGTTGCGAACATCCTGCCGGAGATCACAAGGGCTGTGAAATGAGAAGCTGGACTGAGGATGGAGAATAGGGGCCAGAACCAAGAGGCATTCAGGAGGCCAAATGAACAGAAGGGAATCCAGGAAAAGGCATCCGGGATCCAGGCAAGGCGTCTAGCTGGGGTAGTGGGAGGCCATGGTGCCAGCCTGAGACCGAATTCCAGTTCTGCCCCTGATTACCTGGGTGGCAACTGGTCAAGCTACTTAGTACGTCCTTACCTGAAAAATAATAGGACAGTCGCCCCTATCTCAGGAGTTGTGATGACTTCATGAAGTAATTCATGTAAAGCGCTTAGCTCAGATCAAGCAGTTAGCAAGTCACGCAGTTAGTAAATGTTAGCCACCATCATAAATAGGAAGTACCCAAGATATGGGAGAAAAGCAGCTTTAGAGGAAAATAACGCTACTCACGTATTGATTTATTTTTATCCTGACCTGATCCACAAAGGAGTTAAGGAAGCTTACCTACAATTAATTGAGCTAGACAAAATAGATTTAAAATAAATGAGAAGAAATGAGGCAAAGAGCTGGGCACAGTGCCTCACACCTAAATAATCCCAGCACTTAGAGAGGTGGAGGTGAGTGGATTGCCTGAGCCCAGGGGTTCGAGACCAGCCAGGTCAACTTGGTGAGACCTCCTCTCTAGAATAAAAGTAAAAAAATTATCCAGGCATCTGTGGTTCCGGCTACTTGGAAGGCTGAGGTGAAAGGATTGCCTGAGTCCAGCAGATCTAGGCTGTGGTGGCTGGGAACGTGCCACTGCACTCCAACCTGGACAATAGATTGAGACTTCAACTCCAAGAAAAAAAAATTTCACTGTGAAAGGAAAGAAGGGGCAGATTATTTCCAGTGTTAAAAAATGAAAAGCTGGCAGTCCGTGGCCTGGAATGGTCCGTGTCTATGGGAAGAATGTTTTACATTTAAAAAGCTTCTCCTTGGCCAGGCTCGGTGGCTCAGCCTGTAATTCTAGCACTTTGGGAGGCCGAGGCGAGTGGATTGCCTCAGCCCATGGGTTTGAGACTCACCTGGGCAACTTGGCGAGACCTCATCTCTATAATAAATAAAAAAAAAATTAGTCGGGCATGGTAGCACACACCTGTAGTTCCAGCTCCTGGGAAGGCTGAGGCAGAAGGATCGCTGGAGCCCAGCGGGTCGAGGCTGTGGTGGCCGGGGGCGTGCCACTGCACTCTAGTCTGGGCGACAGAGTGACTCCAACTCAAATAAATAAATATAAAATAAAAAGCTTCTCCTGTGATTCTGATAGACTTCTCACCACTTGCCCACCTCAGGGAGAGCACTGGCATTGAACTTGGGTCTTCCATCTCCAGTTCATCCAGAATCCATTCTGAGGGGAGTTGTGGCCCTAACCAAGCCTGTGGCTGCTCTTCCCTGGTTTCATGATGGTGATGGGATTGATGGCTCTTCCGGAGAGTGATTTTGTCAGGATCATCTTCACAAAGTAACACTGTGCTCTGGGGACTTGTGTGATGGCAACATCCAGACCTGGACCTGAACAGCGCTTAGTTTGTGGAGGAGAATAACCTTACTCACCACAACTCAGTGATGGGTCTATAACTTGGAGAGAATGAGAAGTGCTCTTTTTAAGAAAAATGGAGGCCGGACGCAGTGACTCATGCCTGTAATCCCAGTACTTTGGGAGACAGAGGCAAGAGGATTGCCTGAGCCCATGGTTTTGAGACCAACCTGGGCAACTTGGCAAGACCTTGTCTCTACAATAAATCAAAAAATTAGCTGGGCATGGCGGCGCATTCCTGTGGTTCCAGCTACTTGGAAGGCTGAGGTGGAAGGATCATCTGAGCCCAGCAGTTTGAGGCTGAAGTGGCTGTGAGAATGCCACTGCACTACAGCCTGGACCACAGTGAGACTCCAACTCAAAAAAAAAAAAAAAAAGATGAAGAAGAAGAAAAATGGAGAACCACAGAGTGCAACCTCGAGGGCATGCCACAGAGTTGATCACAGTAACCAATTCAGCAGGGCCTGGAGCCTGCCATTTGGAGTCATTTTTGAACAGTTTCCAGGGCAATTCATTCAGCTTGTTCTAAATCTGTAATTGCAGTGGGAGGCAGTGGGACCAGGGCCCAGACAGACACACAGATGCAGAGGTTAACAATAAGTGTGGGGTTTTCCTCTTGGCTAACACCACCTTCCACCTGGGTCCTAAATCTTACTCCCTTCCCTCTGCTCTGGAATGTATTTCTTAATTTCCAGTTGTTGAAGTTTCTAATTATCTTTTTGTTATTGATATTTAGCTTAATTGCAATGTGATATATAACGTAGTTTTTTTTGGTTTGTTTATTTTCATT